CCCGGCCTCGTTAGCGCGGCTCCCGCCGCAATTAGCGGAGCGCTAATTTGCACAAACACGGCACGCGAGCGCAGTAAACAAGAGCTGCTCTAATGGGGCACGGGGGAGCCCGGCCCGCGCAGCACCTACCTGCACATGATCTCGTGGGTGAGCAGCACGCGGCACATCTCGGGGTTCTTGTCCTGCCCCTCGTAGATGATGGCCTGGGAGGGAGAGAGCGCCCACGTGGGGACCGGCCTTGCAGGGTCCCTGCTGCCCATGGCACGCGGCTCCCTGCCGCCCCGCGCCCCCCTGGCGAGGGGGGTTTGGGGATGGGCCCCATGGCGAGCCATGCACGCCCATGCGCCAAGGTGTGAGCCAGGGACACCGCGGTGGCGGTGCCAGCTCTGCATGCCTGTGTGCACACAGCTACAAATGTCCGTGCACATGTGTGTGTTCTGCACAGCTGTATGTGTGCACAGGTACAAGTGTGCATGTCCCTTTGTTTGCATGCATGTCAGATGTGCATGCCATGCACACCTGCGTGTGCGCATGTGCACAAGTCTGCAAGGGCTGTGCGCCTGTATGCACACGTGCATATGTGTGAGCCATGCAAACCATGCCTGTGTACAGATGTGCACACCAATGCATGCACACCAGGGTGCGCATACCTGTCCAGACGCGCGTGCTCTGCACACCTGTACCTGTCCCTGTCCAGATGTGCCGCCTACCTGTTTGGACATGGAGTCGATGAGCCTCACGTAGAGATCCTGCTCCGTCCGGATCCCTGCAGGGAGAGGGAAGGTGTGAGCCCTCCCTGCCACCAGCCCCACGCACTGCAGCCCCGGTCCCAGGCAGCCCGGCCTCGGTCCGCACCGTTGCTGTAGAGCAGCTGCAGGCGGTAGTGGATGCCGTTGTTGGTTTTCTCACCGTTCTGCTCCTGCGGAGGGAGAGGGAGAAGCAGGAGGTCAGACGTGACGGCCAGGACCCGCTTCACCCCCGGCAGGGCGAGCACCGGTCCCTGCCACACGTGCCCCGAGTTTGGGTGAGGTCTCAGCCTCGGGGGCGCCGCGGCGCTCGCTCACCCGGTCCTTCTCCACGAAGTCGATGAAGGAGGTGCGCTCGATCTCCACGGGCTGGCCCTGCCGGTCGTACATGGCCAGCACAAAGTGGAAGAAGTTGGATTTGCGCAGGTTGGAGGGCGGCTGCTTCTCGAAGTGGGCACGGGCCAGGCCCACCCCGCTGCGGGCAGGAGGTGGCCATGAGCGGGGCCGCTGCTCGCAGCGCAGCAGCACCCGCCTGCCCCGCTGCATGTGCACCCTGGCACCCAGCGTGCTGCAGACACGTGGGTGCATCCGCACAGGGATGTGGGTGCGGGGGGCTGCAGATGCACGAGGCTATGGGTATGGGGGGCTGCATTTCCATGGGGCTGCGGCTGCACAGGGATGTGTGTGCAGGGGGCTGCAGATGCATGGGGCTGTGGGTGTCCATGATGGTGGGTGCACAGAGATGCAGGCATGCAGTGCTGTGGGTGCAGAGATTGCAGGTATATGGGGCTGTGGGTGCAATGGGGCTATGGGTGCACAGCGTCGCAGGCATATGTTGCTGCGGGTGCACAGCATGGTGCGTATATGGGGCTATAGGTACAGTGGGGCTATGGGTACACGGCATTGCAGGTGTGCAGTGCTGTGGGTGCACAGCGTGGTGTGTATATGGGGCTATGGGTGCAATGGGGCTACGGGTACACAGCATTGCAGGTGTGCAGTGCTGTGGGTGCACAGCGCGGTGGGTATATGGGGCTATGGGTGCAGTGGGGCTATGCGTGCATGGGGCTGGATGCACAGGGTGCTGCGGGGGCTGACCCCGCTGCCCCGAGCCCTGCACCGGCCGGGGGGGCCGCCCCGCG